ATATATATATATATATATATATATATATATATATATATATGGAAGCATGATGACGCTTAGTGACATTGAGCACCCCCTCTAAAAACGAACGACACCGCAGAGCAAAAAAGGATGCACTGTAGAATCCCGAAACTTTTTCACACTGCAGTGATGAAAGATGAGTCCTGCTTAACCGAATGTTGATCTAGCACACAGGATTACAATCTGCACGTAATATGTCGCAAAAACGAGGTGAAACAACCGTGCAATCAACCCTAAGACAGTAGAGTTGCTCGGAAAACCTGTGACAACCCCCAAATTTTTTTTGCTCAAATTGGAATGATTCCCGTAGACAAAATCATCGGATTACCTGAAGCACCAATCGGTACCACTCCGGTATCCGAACAGAACAGTGTATCCTCATCTTCATCCTCATCCCCGGCACTCAGGTTTCCACCGGAGATGGGAGCATTGGGATCCACAACATTCGGTCGACAAGCGGATAGTCTGCGGGAACGCCAAAGTGAGGCGATTGTGCCTAGACCGTCACCGGCAGATGCCATTCGATCTTCCATACCGGAACCAGGTCCACCAGGTAGTTCATTGGCAGTATCATCGACCGGAGGCGAGTTCTCGTTAACCGTGCCTAATTCATGTATGCCAATTAGTAGGCTATAGTCCATCAGATTGTTCTCTTGCAAAAACTGCAATTGTTGAGGTAACATCAGGATTAATTAGCAATAAGGAAATGCAACTAGTACTGTTATGTGCAAAATGGTTCAATCTGAATTCTATCTGGCTAAGTATTTACTCACATTTCGGAACATAAACTTTAAAAAATCCAGCCTACATGGGACAGTACACCCCTAAATGCAAGGAAGTCCTGAGTTGATGAGAGGCTTTCGATTAGAGCCCACAGCTAGTCAACGGGGTCTCCCTTTGTTACTGTTTGACCAAAACGAATCGACCGACTATCACTGAAAATAATATCGAAACAAACATGGATTGGCAATTCCGATCATTCCCGGTGTGAGATGGTTGGCACACGTTGGTAACACGTAGGCCTTCATGTCATGGGTTCCAGGATGTTTAAGCCATTACGAGGATGGAGGATATGCAATGCAAATTAGAAGGCGAAACTCGAGTCTAGGGATGCTCGAATATGCGGCTGATTGGACGAACCGAGGATTGTGCGTGAAAGTGTGGTCTGGAGAATGGACAGTTCCAATCGACATCGTGCACACCACACAACATAACTCACAAGTAACGGGGAGTTAAATGTAGAGTGACGTTACCTTGGTAGTGGAATGAAGTAATGTCATCACGACGAACAACTGGTGCTACTGACATGTAATAACGGCAGTCATAATTTTGTGAGGTGCTACTCACACTTATGAGAAGTGTGGTTGGACTGCGCAAAAAGATGCTATTGGCGATTTGCGTAATGGTGAAAAATAAAGAAGACCTGGAGCGCATAAGTGTGCTTAAAGCCGTAACTATGGATAGTAGATGTTCATTGACGGATAGTTGCATCGAATAGCTTGCTTGATTGCTTGTCCAAATTATGATAAATCCGCTTCAGGCGAGACGTTTTGGTCTATATAATCCAAACCATCGATACCCGAAGCGTTGCTCCCAATAGACAACTATCCTCTTACTAAACTATAACAGGAATATTGAATCAGTGGTACAGTAAGAACAACAGCACAGTTCTTTCACTCTGCATTTCTATTCACGTGACTTCTGAAATCCGAAATAATTTTGTTTGTGCATCTGTTGTTATCCAACGTGGCCGTATGTGGTACACTAAGCTAAATCTCGGGGTTTAGCTTGCTGACACAAAAAATGAACTGTGAGTGATTGGAAATTCGGAGGGGAGGTACCCCCTACTATTATTTACCACACACCAGTAGGTGATGAAAACCCGTACCGGAAATGCGAAGATTTAGTAAGAAATCCCACTACTTTATCAACCACTCCAAGAACCACCAAGAACCACGGCAATCGCATCTGAGGATCTTGATTACAAGCAACACGAAAAAGTCAGTTGTGCCATGTGATTTGTATCATCCACGGGAAGGAGGATTCAAGCGCCGGGACAAATGCATCGCCTTCCCAGCTAGAACTTCCTAGCGTATAGCCACGTTACGTTCTATGTACAGTGACATCCGAAGGATACGCAAGCGGACTCTGAATGAGATCAGCGTAAACAGACCGCAAAAGTAAGGCTGGAAGCTAGAAGCACAAAATCATACCTGGAACGAAAGTAATAACGACGAACGTAAACAGAGCACTGACTTCACGGATAGTCGATAATAATCAACTGACTCATAACGTACGAAGGAGGACAAGAAGTGTGCAAGTGTATGTGAACTGCAACCAACTCAGACGAGAATATTGTGTACAACAACGAACAACCGCGCATAGATGTGCGTCCGTTCGCATGTGTGTGTGAGTGTCACAAATCATTTACACAAGCCACAATCAAAGAAGGAATGTGACATTTGCACGCAAAGTAACTAACAATCGACTGATAGATGAACTCTCGCTCTCTCTCTCGCGCACGAACAAAGTGGGAGTAGCGCGGCGAATAAGAAAGGAAGTGTGAGGCATCGTCTTGAACACACGTCATAGGATTACGACATCGTGTTGAGGACGGATTCGGTAAACTGAGCACATTCGCATCGATAATCAAGTATGCACCCTTGTGCGCAATACAAACCGAAGTGATACGAGGAAACAGACATGAAGATGATATGTGAATAGACCTGTAAATGTTCCACGCAGAAAACATGGGTGTGTGAGTCGTTTCAAGCACTAACCCAATAGCATCATTTGCAATTTAATGAGCAACAGGTGCATATATACCAAACTACGGTAACGGGAAAACACAAATTGACCGAGCAATTTCCAGTAAACCGTCGATGTGGTGGGGCCGAACGGTGTAAAAATGAATAAACTGAGACGCAGCAGATACGGCGCTACGCGACCTCGAGAAAAGCACAGTACCGAAACACATCTTCTAGAGGAACGTCCGACTAGGATGGGGGAAATTCACTACACTCTCTCGAGATAGGATAAATAACCATCAGCGATAACATACATGGAAAGAAAGAGAGCAAGAAACGATGAATAACACGGGCACAATGCTGACTCGCCATCTGGTTATCAGGCTATTGATCTAAATTGTCAGTCAACAAACTGTGGTTTGGATCGTCCAATAACGTAAGTTCACGTGTCGTAAGACTAAAGATAACCTAAAAGCATGATTTGAGTGTCACGCAAACAATAAACAAATGCGTGCGAACTGTAAAATACTAAAACACGAATATATGAGCCTCATAGTAAAGTATGTATTATCATATTCATTATTTATCGAGCTTTCATTTTTGGCCCGCGTTCTGTAAACAGAGAGGAGCTGGATAAATCCAAGTGAAAATATACAGATTCTATTGATTTGAGAACTGAATATTTACTACGATAGGGAGCAGCTGAACAACTCGTAAAGTTTTAGTTGCATTCATGACTGCATAAATGACATCATCCGATCAATAACTGACAGAAAGACGAACTTTTTATAAGATTCAAAGATGTCCTCTTTCGCAATACCATGTACTTAATGGGTTCGGATACTGGCAGAGGAACGTTTTTTTAATGTTCTACCATTACACAGCATGGGTTATGATCCTATTCCTCCCGAACAGCAAGGAGATTGACTAGGATTTCTTAGATTCTACACAAAGCACGTAGCAGAGCCTGAAATGAACTTAATAGTTACTAGAAGCAAGACAACTTCACCTTGGTCACAGTATTATTTGATGAATAGGATATATTTAGAAAATCAATAGTGTAGTGATGAAACCTTCATCTGGCATGAACACTACACACACAGCGCTTCCTCGCGCGGTTTCGATTGTTTTTTTTAATGTTCTCGGTTAATCAAACAGATTGGGAGAAAAAAAACAAAAATTAGCGGAGAACATGAAACCATCTAAGAGTTCAGTAACATAAAAGAGTTTCCCAATTAGCTTAACCGCAAAAGCTCTTGCGGTGATCCAAGCGGAAGTATATGGAAACAGTCAGCATACGAGCTATCCGCTGTGAGCGTATACCACTGAAAGTTGAGTGCGTACCGGACTGCGAAAAGATCAGGGTGACAGATGTGACCTGATTGCTCAGCTGATACCCCGTACGTTGTACGGAGAGGTATTTATGCGTGAGTTCCAATGCTAACGAAATTCCCGGACTGTGGAAAACTGGAGTGCAAGATAACCTGTTTATGTGATTTAAACTGAACCTGTAAGACATGAAATATACGAAATCAACTCAGAATGATGGTATGCACTATCACAGTTGACAGATGGTAGTGGGGTTCGAACCAGGAGTGGTCCACATTAATAACGCAAAATAAAACAACAATAAAACCCCCAATAAATTGCCTGTTCGTGGACCACAGAGAATAAAACGGTAGACACCTGAGTACTTTTGTTCCTACTGTAAGCGGAGATAGCTACCGCATGCAAACCAAATGAACTTCAAGTGGTTTCCGAATAGTGATCACTATAGGATTGATTCAAGAGCTGTGTGATGGGATGCCATGAAAACCAACTACTGTGGATGGTGACGCAAAACCGAACACAACTCAATATCAAGGAAAACAGGACCGTTCAGTTGTGGCAGATTTGCACCCGGTAGAACAGTGAGCTGTTTGGTTTTGGATTGTCGGTCTCATTTTAATCCGGTGTGATTAGCATGACACAGCGTCGAGAATCGATTATCATAACTATGTGACTGAAAACAATTTTACCGATTTGAAGAGTTGGAAGTGAGTTGCAAAGGTTTCATCAACAGCTGCGGTGACATATTCATTTTGTGGTATGGTCAAACAAGAAAAAACAAAAGCTGAGTATTGAACAAAGTGTTCCGGAGCCTCATTAAATATATTGCTTGGATCAATTGCTCTTGTTTCGGAGTACAACTTTCTAGGCNTGGCTATATACGGAATGTATGGAGGGTGGAAGATGCAAACGGATGCGTTATGTGGACATATTAGGAAAAGTATTCAAACGGTTCTAGCAGGTCTTAGAGGAAAAAGTGAAGAGAAATAACGACGTATATTACAAACAGTATCATTCCAAACTGCAATGCTTGTTCTCATTGGTCGGAAGGTCTCGTTTGCATCCATCCAGGAAGCTCAATATTCATTTAATCGCCCCACAATTCAGTTCCAGGAAAACCGAAAATTGGATAATAGGATTAGTGCTACAAGGAGTGTGGGATTTTTGTATTTTCTGGTTACGGGAGTACTTAAACAAGAGTAATCGGGTGGATAGGTTAGGTTTATGGCTAAATGTACCAGTGATCGCCAATGAACGTCACTCGGTCGTGTTTGAGTTCTCTCGGATCAATAGAGGTGAGATCCAAAGAAATCATAGACAATTTTTCGTGAAACTTCACACAACGTAGTGTGTTTGGACAGTCAGTGAATATATATATTCAAACTTTTACTGTGCGTAAAGTGCAAAGCTGATGAAAATCTTTGTGATGACCGACAAAGAGCACTGGGCAGCTGTTTCGCCCTGTTCGGGATTCGTCAGCAATGCATCTTTTTTGTGCCCTTGTCGGAACAAACATCTACAAAGCTGATTCTTATTGAATTCAATCGGATTTGTACACACTTAGTTGGGTTGGTAACAAATTATAACTTTCCTCCACGGGTGCTGGA